ATAGAGAGGAATGTTGGTTTGAGAGAGGAGTAAAGGAAGCCATCTTTGTGAAGAAAACCCGTCCACCATTAAACAGAGGTGGAGGCCTTCGTGTCCAGTTGTCCTCCTCCTACAATGCTGTTATTGCAAATATGACTCCGCCCCCTGTGAGCAAAATGTGTGAATCAGGGCTCCAACAATACCAACACAAAGAGGGAAAAAGAGACAAAAAGAAGGGGACTTTGAACCCCTGCTTGCATTCACTACATACACATGACACGACACCTAAGAACCACAGCATCTAAACCAATAAGTCAGGTGATGGGRCACATGACCCTCTATGAACAATAGAGCTAATCAAGCCTATTGTTAGACGATGGTCCTCTTTTGCATGTGACTAACCTGTTTGTCCATATGGAGGCAGTGTTTTAAGGCTGAGTTCACCTGAAACTCTCAGACTGAAGAAGTCTCTTGGAGGAGAGACGAAACGTTTCACTAAAGAAGAACCCGTCCAGAAGACCTACTTATTTTTTCTTTTTGATTTTTTCTACCTGGATTACTGAGATGCATCAGGACATTTATTCTAATGACATGAAATACTATGTAGGTCTAAAAAACAAAGTGAACAAAATGATGACAAGAGCAAACGTAAATGAAGCAAAAGGCTGATCTAACAGCTGCTCACTTCGACTCCTGATGTGTTGACACAATGATTCACACACAGAGGGAAACCAGCAGCACAAACATCAACACAACCATGGYGCGCAGTCACAGTCACCATATTTACACACAGGAACCGTCAGTGAATACTCACTGAAATCACCTTCTTCTCCAAAGCAACAGGAGAGCGGGACTGAACAGAGACAACAGAGACACGTCTTAAAACAAGGAGGAACTGAAGAGGAGCTTCATCTGACTCTCTCTACAAACAGGATTCAAGGAGAGGTTTTTAACCAGCAACATGTTGGAGAGAGAGAGGGACCTTTTCTGGGTGGATCATGATCAGAGACGGTGAAACAAGCAGCAGCGTGATAAAAACACTTTTATAAGTACAAAAAAAGGTAAATAAATTTACACAGGCGGACACACAYAAACATTATTTAAACAAAACGTGTCATTAATTAAATGAGTTTTGCTCTGTAGTTTGATAGAGATTTTATCCAACATCAGCCTCCTGCTCTGAAGCTGCAGCTCAATCAGTTCTGCTCAGGTTTGAAACGTAATGCTCCTCCAGGAACAAAGAAAACATATCGTAGCCTGAAGGTTTTAGCTTTGTTTTAATGAAATGAGTGACAGAAATGATTCTGTATTAAACTGCAGTTTAATACAGAATCATTTCTGTCACTCATTCAGTCATTGAAAAGAAGTGCTGTTGATGTCTTCTTGTGGCTCACCATGTATCAGTAAATAGCCAGTAAAGTCTGCTTTAACAGATCTGATAAAGATATGGTTCTGGTTGTAGAGTCCTGCATGGCTGAAGCCTCAAAGAGTAAAATCATGTGTTTCTGTGGTAACATGTTTTAGTGCCCTAATACTTTGATTTTATTTTATTTTATTTTTTTTGCTTTATCACAGAAATGTAACGAGAGAATAATATAAAATCATAAATAATACTGAATGTTTGCGAGAACAATTGTAACATAAATGATAGTTAGCAATCATGATCTTTTTAAAGTCAAAAATAAAATAACATGCATATACAAAGAATTGTTTTTTTTTTTAACTTAATTCATTTTATTTATTTTACAGCAAAACATTAACTGTATTATTGTTAGATCAGTACAACGATGAGTAATTAAATATAATGGGGAAATTCATTGTGTGTGTGCAGCAGAGGACTGCCATGTAAGGAGCCCAGAGAGGGTTAAGGGCCTTGCTCAAGGGCCCACAGTGAAGGCAGATGTGAACGCTCCAAGCATCCATATTCTGTAAAAAGAGACATTTCCCCCCCATGCTTTACACGCAGCTCTGTGGATTACAACCAGCAACCTCCTGATTACAAGCTCGCCCTCTCTAAACAGTCTTAAAAAATATAAATAAGCTTCTWGTAGGTTGTGGACAAAGTTGAGAAAACATTCCTCAAATAAAAAAAGAAAGTAGAAAAAAGCATGAAACATACTCGCACCGACGCCGACAGGTCGACGCGCAGTCACGATGTTGTTCGGCAGTCGTTTTCGCACAGACCTTTCATAGTCCCTGCGCCGAGCTCGGGAAACCCCCCTCCCGCTGAACCATACGTCACTGCATGGAATTTCTCCCCACAACCGCCGACATTGCAGAAAAAAGTCAGACTCGTCACTCACCCGACGTATTTATGCACATCTGTCCTGGTTAAAGCTCCACAGTTTTTATCAGTCAGATTCCTCTGTGCACAACATCTGTTTATCTCCATTCATGAGTTTTTCAACTCTACTTCCTGGTGTCGGCTCTGGGAGCGAGTCGGAGGCCCCCCCCCCCCCTTTTTTTTTTACCGAGTGCAGCAG